ATTTTAGTTGATTGCAGAAACGTTACAATATTGAATGAGCACAGTAATTGTAATCACTGGTGGCCACTCTAGTAAATAATTATAGATTCATTTTGCAGCTCTGTCGAATAGGTCAAGTGGCCTTTCAAGCGACACTCTCATTGTCTCGTTTCGAGTTTCAACTCGCATATCAAATTTCGAGCCGTCCAACCTTTTCATTGATTTTTCGAGCTGAAAAAGTTCCATTTTTGAACAAACGACTACTTATTTCAAACAATAGCGGTTGTCAGTCTTTTGAGACGTTTATTTGCAATTGACGAGCGAACAAACAAAATCCACCCACGCAGCAAATGTGCAAATAACATTGACAATAAGCGCAGCTGGCAGGCAAAGCAATGAAAGAGAGACGGGGATTAAAACGGCATGGGGGAGATTCGGAAGCGCCTGCGATTGTCATGTGTATGCAACCTGCCTGACAAATATGAGCAGCGGGCTGTATAACGACGAGGACGTTGACGAATTCCGAGACAAAGCAAAATTAATATACATTTTCCTGTGAAACTTTTACTTAAGGTTCGGTTTGAATTTGTTGTCTTGAGTAAAATCAGAATTCAGTTGAAAATTTGAAAAACATTCTTCTCTTGACTATATGAAAATTCTCTAAAAAATGGCAGGTATGATTTTTTTTTCTGAAGCGGGTTTAGAAGATTTTGAGCTTATCAATCATATGAATCGTTCAGATTTGATGGTGAAATTTTAATTTAAATTTTATTGGAAAAATTTATTCGAAGCGCTTATCGGCTTTAAGTGAGGGCCAGCCAGACAATGTATGCAAATGCAGTGGCTTAGGCGTGAGGGTGGAGCCCTCGACCAAACAACATAGGCTATCCTGAGGGTGCAATTTGGCTGTGGCGAATTTCGCATGCACAAGAGCCACCGCGCGCTGCTCTCTCGCAATTCCCAGCTGCAATGTAGACGACAGACGGGCCACTTCGATTTCCGAACCTCGGCGCCTCTCGCACGATCACTCAATTTGCTGCCGAGTCCAATATTCCGATACATCAAGTCCCACTAGAGTTTTATGCCGCCACCGATTTTCAATCGGCCGCAATTATTTCACTGGAGCGGCGAATTCAAATCACGGAGTCTGTGAAAATCACCGCAAACCTCAACGGCCGACGAGCCACCGTAGCCGTAAATTTGCCCAGTTCCAAAATTATTGGTTTGGTTTATTTGGTTCAAAAACCTATACAATAATTATAGAAAATTCAAATCAAAAATAGAATAACTAAATTTTATTTAAAAAAAAAATTCTAAATTTGTCCTTTGTGAACATTTTCTGAAATCAACACGAAATGAAGCGAAACTGGGAATTGCGCGATTTTGCACAAATCGCATTTGAGGCCGTGATTGAAAAAATTCAATAATCATTCACAAGGCTGGGGCGCGTAAAAGCAAACCAGAAATAACCATGCAAGACCGTAATAAAAGTGGGATGACTATCAAAGTGTTGAGAGGGCGGCGGACTGCGCGTCGCTTGCATATATTCTTGCTCTCTCCGCACAAAAGGAGAGGAATCCAATTTGTTTCCGAGATCCTCGAGTGGAATGAAAAAGCACCACGGATAGCTGCCGACCCGTAATGTAATTCTCCAGGGTGCACACTCGTGTGAGTGGCGGGCGGCCTCGCCCTGTTTATTCTCTGCCAAGGTCCCGCGCCAAATCTTAAATTTCCGACGACCTACTGAAAGGGGGCTCTTCAAGGTTGCTATAATTTAACTCATTTTTGGCAAGAAAAGAAGGTAAAAAATTAAAATGAACAAAAGCAATATTTCTTTGAGTTACGGTTTGCTTGAATTTTGAAACTTCTATTTTAAATATAATTAAAACAAAATTAATTTGATTTTTGCATAAGTGGGTAATTCTTGATTTTAATTTTTTAAATAAAAAGGTTGAAATGTATAGAAAAAATTAAAATAATACAAATTGAAATTTAAAGAAACTGATATAGTCTGATTCTTCCTGTTTTCACATACCCCGCCCAAAGTTGAAGATATCAATATGAGATTTTCACCACTTTACCATCTTAGTTTGGAAGCGACTTTCCTAAATTTTTGACTAAAAATTTTCAAAATTGCGGGTTTTGCGGGACATTTTGGAAAAACAAAAAAACGTGATTATCTCAGCTTCTGGTGGTCGTAGAACAATTTTCCGGGTACGGCTGAACTCGTCTTAGCAAGTTCTACAACTTTGCTGTTGAATGTAAAATTTTAAGTCAAAGGTCAAGGTCACTTTTGGTGACCTGAAATTTTTTAACTCAAATTTGGAAATGTGCTGCATGATGAAAATCATTTTTGAGATAGCCATTCGATTTATCATGAAATTTTACGTAATATATGTCAAAATTGCGATGTTGATATTTTTAGTTTAATTTAAATAAAAATAAGAATATTAAAAAACGTAGTTTTTCGCACCTCGGCAGGCAGTGTCAACAATATAATCGTCTGTAACTTTTGTTCTGATGATTTTAGGTACAAAGTAGTTATGACCAAAGTTAATCTCCACGTCAAGACCAATCGATTGGTGTGTAAGTCAATGACCTTTGGTGACCTTGAGGTCAAAGGTCACTCAGGTCGGTGACCTGGGGTCACGCGACCTAAATGTGTGATACGTACTTAGAAAGGTCTTGTCAAGAGGATAATTTTAGACACCAAATTTTTTACTTTACGTCTACTACAAATCGAATAATTATAATTTTTCCTAATTAAATGCAGTATTTTGAGTGAAATTTATTGGAAATTAGAGATTACTTGCTTTGTAGTAGACGTAAAGTAAAAAATTTGGTGACTAAAATTATCCTCTTGACAAGACCTTTCTAAGTACGTATCACACATTTAGGTCGCGTGACCCCAGGTCACCGACCTGAGTGACCTTTGACCTCAAGGTCACCAAAGGTCATTGACTTACACACCAATCGATTGGTCTTGACGTGGAGATTAACTTTGGTCATAACTACTTTGTACCTAAAATCATCAGAACAAAAGTTACAGACGATTATATTGTTGACACTGCCTGCCGAGGTGCGAAAAACTACGTTTTTTAATATTCTTATTTTTATTTAAATTAAACTAAAAATATCAACATCGCAATTTTGACATATATTACGTAAAATTTCATGATAAATCGAATGGCTATCTCAAAAATGATTTTCATCATGCAGCACATTTCCAAATTTGAGTTTGAAAATTTCAGGTCACCAAAAGTGACCTTGACCTTTGACTTAAAATTTTACATTCAACAGCAAAGTTGTAGAACTTGCTAAGACGAGTTCAGCCGTACCCGGAAAATTGTTCTACGACCACCAGAAGCTGAGATAATCACGTTTTTTTGTTTTTCCAAAATGTCCCGCAAAACCCGCAATTTTGAAAATTTTTAGTCAAAAATTTAGGAAAGTCGCTTCCAAACTAAGATGGTGAAGTGGTGAAAATCTCATATTGATATCTTCAACTTTGGGCGGGGTATGTGAAAACAGAAAGAATCAGACTATATTATTTTATTGTTTTAGAATATTTTGTCTTAAATAGTAAATGAATGAATTTAACTAACAATAAGAATTTCTTTTATATAAATTCCGCTCAGAGGTTAATCTGGAGCCCCCTGTGTACATTACGAGTAATTATGCAGGCGCCGATTAACGATTAGGCGCGCCGGCACTAAATTAACACTCGGTGGCAAATTTCGCCGAGCAAATTACAGATAGGGCGGCTGAACCTTTGCCATTTAGCGAGTCTCGGATGCCGGCTGATATCGCTCGAATAACACACGCGTGCGGAAATAACCATGCGTTGTGAAGTGAAATCCCGTAAGTTATGCGACCCGCACAGGAGATAAGCTAATTATGTGGCGCCACGGAATTCCCCGCTCACAAATTACAATTCCTCATTTTCACGCTCTCGTTTGGTGATAACTGCAGCGCTTATTGTGTCAATCTAATATTTCACACCTCTTATCTCAGTTCTTTTTGGTTTCTTCAAGAGCTGCTGATTAACGGGCCCGTCAGAAACAATGCACGTGACTTGATTCCCGTGGAACTTTTTCCCTCCCGGAGCTCTTTCCTTCAGCTGTTGCTAGATCAATATAAAGGACTGTTTACTTGCCCGCTCTCATATTTCGTCGCCAGGAAAAATGTAGGTCGCCCCTTGTTCTCGTGTCCAGCAAAGTCTCCATCACCACCAGAATGATAAAATGCAATTCCCACATCTTTAAACTTAATTTAAAACACGTGGACAAATAATCCTAATAATTTTCATATCTTTTTTAAAGACAGATCAAAGTTTAATCGCGTGCAAGAGTTCACGTACGGCAAATTAAATGTTATCAATACTAAATGATATTTTTTAACGTCCTCATTACAACAATGATGAAATTAGTTAAGAAATCTAAAGCTTTCTAATTGAATTTTGTAGGAAATTTCATTTTATCCTTTACATGATATTATTTAAAACTGAATATAGAGTCTTCAGGTTAGGAGAGACCGTGGTGGGTCATTTTTGACAAGCTCGGCAAAAAACGGATGGCCCGGAAAAGTATCCCAAAAACAGTTTTTCTTTTGTCGAGGAGGGACGGTCTCGGCTCCTTTTGTTTCCACGCCGGACTAATGAAAAATCTCCTTCCACCCCGTGCTGGCGAAATGACTTGGGTCCAGCAGCAGATTAGTGTGGCAGCGCGCATTAGCAACGGCATAGATTGGCCCCGGGCTGTGTAATATGGCTGAAGGAGGAGGAAAGGAAGAGCAAGAGCCGCTCGCTCGCTCGCTCGCTCGCTATCACGTGTAACGAGCAATATCACAGATGACATCTTCTTCTTGCTTGCTTGCCAGCTCCACAGCGCCTTCAGGACATATTATCGTGACGTCACGACGCCAAATAAACTTTACTCCTCAGGGACCTGCACAACGACCTCGCCCTGCTGGAAACCACTATCGTAGTTTTTTTTTTTTTTTTTTTTTTTAATAAAACAAGATTTGATAATTCAAGTTCATATATATTTTGCATTATACAATTATCAAGTTAAAATCCCGGATTCTCTGGCCGGATTCCGGTGAAGTCGGTAATGAAGTCCCAGTGACTGGCAAGCTTGGTGAAAACAACAGGCTTGCCGCGAATGCAGCTCTCCTCGTCGTAAAATGAAAATATTCCGATCTGGTGAGATTCGGAATTTGTGTCTGTAAGAGTCAAGGGAGACCCGGTGTCGCCCTAGAAATATATTAGTGCATTAACGAGAAAAATAAAATTATTTGTGATAAATACACCGCAAGGTCCACGTCCTCCGGCAGTGCTCAGGCAAATGTGCTTCTCGTTGACGTATTGTGCTCCATAATTGTCAATGCAAACTTGCAAATCTTGAACGTCGACGTCGACATATCGTAAGACATCCGAATAATTGGTTCCGACACCTGAGTGGAATATTATTTGGCATATTCAACATGTTATTTTTCCATTATCCTTACCAGATCCCCAGCCGCTCATGCGACCACGAACGCCCTGATAGGTGGCATTGATCTCGGATTCAAAAGGCAACTGAGATTGGCTAACATAAGCTGGCGAAAACAGAAAATCACTATATGAGTTTACCTAAACTTTTATTATCATAATAATTGCAAAAGAAGGCCTTATTAAAAAAAAAAAAAAAAAAAAAAAAACCCAGGTAAAATACTAATTGTATCGACTCACGTGATGAGCTGACTCTTGTAGGTAAATGTACAATAGCAATGTCGTTGGCAAACGTGTCTGAGCTGTAATTAGGATGAACGAAATGATAGTCGGCGATCAGGTCAACACGGCCGATCTCAGTCGTTGCCGAGACGTTGTGGACTCCGAGGACGACACGGATCTTGGCATTCAAATCATTCTCCCTATTGCACAAAGTGAAAATCAAAAGTAATATTGAATTTAAATTGTACTTACGGTGGAACGCATTGGGCCGCTGTGATTACGTAATCTCCGCTGATCATGGATCCACCGCAGTACAACTGGACTGTGCCGTTGATTTCGCTAGTGATGACAGCCATCCACGGAAATTGACCCCGAGTTGCGACATCCCCACCGACTATCCTATTACCTTCTTGAAATTCAATCAATGAACAGATTTTTGCATTGAAATAAATAATCAGTCATACCTTTTTCAGCAATCGACGAACAGATTAAAGACACCTGATCGATTATTATAGTTGAGGTGAAATTTTTAAAAGCAATATTTTTCACTTACAAGAAGCCATAATGTGCAGAACATCCAGTGAAACCCGTTCATTTTGCCGCGGTTTTCTTACGTTTAAAAACTTTTCTCACCTCGGCAATTATATATGCGCAAGATGATTATCAATTATCATAAGTCTGCTTAATGTAAGGTGATCTCATTAAAATTTAATTTCAATCTAAAGAGATCTTTTAATCCTGTGGTAAAATTTCACGATCGAAGACTGATCCATGGCGATTTGAATTTTAATCGTGTTATAATCGCTAACAACTTCATGCTTGACAAGTAATTAGTAATTACTTTTTGTCAAGGTCGTTTGAATTGAACCTGATTAAATAAGCGTACGTGCATTGCACAGCGGAATTTGGAGTTTGTGACTCACACATTGACTATCAAGATCGGTTATTAAGTTCTGTGTTCAAAGATTTCAAGTTTCTAATAGTACGTGTTAAATGAAACACAATTAATGCTTTCTTACTATGGGATTTTCATTACAAATACGATATTCTAGGCAAATTCCTACAATCCCGTTTACGGTTGTGGCCGAATTCCGGTGTAGTCAGTGATGAAGTCCCAATGGCTCGCAAGCTTGGTGTAGACGACAGGTTTGCCGCGAGTGCAGTAGGTTGGATCACCAAATGAAAATATTCCAATCTGGTGAGCTTCGGAGGTTGGCTCGGTCAAGGTCAGGGGCGACCCCTCGTCACCCTAAATCAATTAAAAATAATCAACCGTTAATTTAATAAACTTTGATCAATACATGGCAAGGTCCGCGTCCTCCTTCAGGATAAATGCATATGTGTTTATCTGTCACGTCGAAATTCGGGTAATAGTCCCTGCAGAATTGCAGCTCCATGACGTTATTGTCAACAAATTGTAAGACATCTGAATGAGTTGACAGGCCGCCTACGTGGAAGAACTTTATTTAAAATTGGTCAAATATATTGCAAGATACCATCCCTGCTCGCTCCCCAGCCGCTCACACGCGTCCTTATGCCCTGATACGTTTCGGTGGCCTCAGAAGCGTAAGGCAACCGTGATGGGTCAATGTAAGCTAACAAAAATTAATCATTATTAATTACTAGTTGTTAAAAAATCATGTTAAAAGTAAGTGATTGAAATTAATTTAAGAATATTGAAAAAATTTATTTTTCAAAAAACATTAAAATAAAGAAAAGAAAAATTGGTTAATATTTTCATTTAATCTTTTTCAAATGTGCTGACAACTAATTTTCAAAGAAGATTTTCATACAAAGGTAACTTTTTCATATTCTTGAAGTTAAATGAAATTTGAGGAAATTTCTACTAACCTTTTAATTTGAACAAAAACGAACCAGAAATTTAAAACGAAATAGAGACAATGATTTGCCCTTAAATGGCTTAAAAAACTCAAGGAAAAGTGTCAAATTCAAATAAACCCGAAATTCGTGCATAGTGAAATTTTTATAGATATATAATCTACACAAAGTTACTGCCTTAAATAATGTAATTAGAATTTATGTTAATTTAGGATAACATATTTCAATTTATTATTATTTATATTTCGTGTAATTTTGAAACTCACGTGATGAACTGACTCTTGTCGGTAAATGGACAATTGCAATATCGTTCGCCAAAGTAGTTGGGTTGTATCCAGGATGAACGAAATGATAGTCAGCGATCAAATCAACACGGCCAATCTCAGACCCAGATGTCAATGATACATTGTGGACACCAAGGACAACCCGAATCTTGGCACTCAAATCATTCTCCCTTAAAAAATTAATTTAAATAAAAAAAATGGGTATGAATTTCACTCTCACTCACGGTGGAACGCATTGAGCTGCTGTGATCACGTAATCTCCGCTGATCATGGATCCCCCACAATATAATTGAACTACGCCATTGATCTCGCTAGTGATCACGGCCATCCACGGAAATTGACCCCGAGTTGCTCCTTGTCCTCCGACTATCCTATCACCGCCTTTTGAAATTCAAACTCTACTAAGTTTGTTGCATTCAAAGCTTTCTCTGGTTTTGAAAAAAAAAATTAATACCTTTTCCCGCAATCGACGTTCTGATTACAGGCACCTGATTGGATCATATTTTAGTTGAAATTTTTCAAAGCAAAAATGTTTTGTCTTACAATAAGCCATATTGCGCAGAAAATCCAGCGAAACTCGTTCATTGTTGCAATGGTTTTATTACGATTGATATAACTTTGCGCACCTCTATTATATTTATACTCATACGCACAGAGATAATTGCCAATTATCAGAAGTCGACAGTAACATGAAAGTACTTCATGTTTGACAAAAGTAATTGGTTTTTCAATTTCGCTTGCAATGAGATTAAATTCGCGTTTACTGAGACATTTGGAATTATGTTGAGATTGCTCATTGTTAAGCCCTTTGTGAGATTTTTTTTAGTGTGATATTGATAAAAATTTGACATAAAAATTATGATGCGTTACTAGAGAGTTTTTATTACACATTCTTATCAAAATATTAAAGTTCGGCTTGAGGACGAATTCCGGTGTAGTCAGTAATGAAGTCCCAATAACTGGCAAACTTGGTGTACACAACGGGCCTACCGCGAGTGCAGTAGGTTTTGTCGCCAAACGAAAATAATCCGATCTGGTGAGCATCAGAGCTGGTTTCGGTCAGGGTCAGGGGAGACCCAACGTCGCCCTAACACTTTCAAATTAATAAAATGAAAATAAAATAAACTTTATCAATACAAAGCAAGGTCCGCGTCCTCCTTCAGTGCTAATGCATATGTGATTTTCGTTTACTTCGAATCCTGTTAATGCGTAATAGTCCTGGCATACTTGCAAATCCTGAACGTTATTGTCAACATATCGTAAGACATCTGAATGATTAGACAGGCCATCTGAGAGAAAGTAATTTATTAATGTAGGTTTCAAGCCTGATGAATACAAGGTATTATACATACTATCTCTGTCCGCTCCCCAGCCGCTCACGCGGGTCCTTATGCCCAGATAAGTTGCGTTCCACTCGGATGCATAGGGCAGCTGTGATTCCTTAACATAAGCTTGCAAGGATAAATTATTATTAAATAAATGCCAAGGAGCTAGCGAATGTTTGATTAATAAATTTGTTTAAAATCAATTAAGAACTATTAAGATTTTTTTAAATCTTTAGACTTACGTGATGAGCTGACTCTCGTTGGTAAATGGACTATGGCAATGTTGTTGGCCAAAGTGGCTGCATTGTAATCAGGATGAACAAAATGATAGTCAGCGATGAGATCAACACGACCAATCTCAGTCGTTGCCGATACGTTATGGACACCGAGGACAATACGAATCTTGGCAGTGTAATCATTCTCTCTTTTTGAAAAATGAAAATTTATAAACTCTGAATTCAAATTTCACTCACGGTGGAACGCATTGGGCCGCCGTGATTACGTAATCTCCGCTAATCATGGATCCTCCGCAGTACAACTGGACTGTGCCGTTGATTTCGCTAGTGATGACAGCCATCCATGGAAACTGTCCCCGATAAGCGAATTGTCCACCGACTATCTTGCCACCGTCTTGAAATGAATAGAATTTTTTATTGATTTGAACTTACAGGCGTTTGAAAAATTAATCAAAGTACCTTCTTCCGCAATCGACAAACCTGAGGTAGCCACCTGAGTTGTTTTAGGAGTAAATTTTTGTTGAGAAATTAAAATTTAATATAATTCTTACAGTGAGCAATAATGCACAGAAAATCCAACGGGAAACGCTCATTTTAGCCATGGTTTCAGTTCTACTAAATATTTGTGCCCACCTCATTTATTTATACGCATTCTAGAAGCAAGATAATCATCAAATTATCAGTCTAACACGAAAACACTTGTTGTTTGACAAGCAACACGTTTGAATGAAGCACACTTAATTAAGCTATGCGATTGTCTCACACATAATCAATATCGCTGATTGTTGTGCTCTATGTAAAAAATTAATTACAAAGTGGTTGCTATTGAAATTGCAAATAACGCACGTCAAATAAACAGACAGCGTTAATTGAAATCCTTCTTTATCTATCACAATTATATACTTCATACAATCCCGAGGACACATTTGGTAGGTTCGTGATGATTCAATGATAAAAATAAAAATTGAATATTACTTTGCCTGGATAGACTTTTTAGTTGTTTACTGATTTAAATAAAAGTTCATAGTGTTTTTTTAATTATTTATTCAAAATATAAATTGCATAGATTCTTTCAGTTTCAATTAACTTTTTTATATCATCAGATGTTAAAAATGTTTGATAGGGAAAAATAAGTGAGAGGCGGAAAATAAAACAAGATAATTCCCCTTGTCCTGATTTGATTGAATATTACAGAATAAGAGAATGTAATTGTTAATGTGTAATAATGAAGCGTATACTAAATGAACGTATTGCATTTTTTATTTATTTTCTTTTCGCGTGAGAAGAATGGGAAAATAATTTTTCAACAAATGAAAGCTTGCTTCTCGAGAAATTTATTACAATTTTTACAACTGCACATGCAAGTTAGTAATCTACAGGGTTAGGTGTAGGTGGAGATAGTGGAAGGAGTCCTGTGTAGTCAGTAATGAAATCCCAGTGACTGGCAAGCTTGGTGAAAACAACAGGCTTGCCACGAATGCAGCTCTCGTCGTCGTAAAATGAAAATATTCCGATCTGGTGGGTGTCGGCACTCGGTTCCGTCAGAGTCAGGGGAGCCCCGGTGTCGCCCTGAATCAGGAAGCATTCGTTTGAATGTGAAAAAACGGTCATTTTTTTGTAATACTTTGCAAGGGCCATGTCCTCCGGCTGTGCTGACGCAAATGTGTTTTTCATTCACGTAATCTACTCCGTAATAATCAATGCAAACTTGCAACGGGCGCACCAGCGTGTCGACATATCTCAAGATTTCCGAATAGTTTGATTGAATGCCTTGGTAAATATGATATTGTAATCACGTAAAGTTAATTATAGATTATAATTTACCATCTTTGTCAGCTCCCCAGCCACTCATGCGAACACCGACGCCGTCATAGGTTGCATTCACTTCATAATCATATGGTAATTGCGAGTTCCCAACATAAGCTGAAAAAAATATGAAAAAAGCAACATTCAGCACGGAATAAATATCAAATTAAAAATGATTGATCTGAATAATTTTTATCTTATTATAGACTCACGTGATGAAAACACCCTCCTTGGCAAGTGGACAATGGCAATGTCGTTGGCCTTGGTGACTGAGTCATACTCAGGGTGGACGAAACGGAAATCGGAGATCAAGTCAACGCGGCCGGTCTCCGTCGTGGACGTGATGTTGAGGGCGCCGAGGACAACGCGCACCTCGGCAGTTAAATCACTCTCCCTAAAATTAAGTAAAAATCAAGAAATAGGGATTATTAATTAACTTACGGTGGAACGCATTGGGCTGCCGTGATTACGTAATCCTCGCTAATCAACGATCCACCGCAGTACAACTGATCCACGCCGCCGATTTTGCTGACGACCACAGCCATCCACTTGATTTGTCCTCGAGTTGCATCCTCACCACCAATAATGCGTCCGCCATTTTCACCCTCAGAAAACTCAATTACTGTGGGAAAAAGGTTTACAACCAGTTCTGTTCAAATGAAAATCTTTTACCTGGTTCCTCTATATTGTAATTTTCAAATCCTAGGACGGTAACCTAGCGAGAAATAAAAGTGTTCTGATGGAATTTACACAAATTTGTGCAATCAACTCACCGAGAGGCAAATGACGCAGAGCAACGTGCTGATCGCTTTCATCTTTGCGTTCTACAATCAGAAGAGTTCGCGTCTCTTATATAGGAAGAAGAAAATCCTTTTTTCGGTCATCAACTTTGTTAATCCTTCATATACAAACTATTTCATTTGTTGTTTACCGAAAAATGCGTCGATCAGTGTAATCTAGGATGAAAAGTCTAACTTAGGGAAACGGCAAAAGCAATCTTTATCAAACTCTTATATGGATCAATGTTTTCACAACGTTTGGAAACGGCTTATTTTCAATGATACAAGCGTATTGCGGCAGCACACCAACGTTAATCCCGACAAAAACAATATCATCAGAGCAAACAATCCCATTATTCAGGTTATAATAAATTTTTACTTGAGCAATAAAAAAAGCAGCAGTGATTGCGAGGAGGACGTGTGTAAATTGTTTCGTTTTTCTTCTGCAGAGAATTTAACGTGTTTGTTTGGGCAGTCTTTTTAAAAATTAGGTCATGTCTGTTTTGAAACAGGATTATTTACAGAAAGTCCTGAATAAGTTTCAAGTAAATTATTTCTTATTCTCTAATCATAATAAAATTAATTTCAAAATATTTACTAGGTTATTATTGTTAATGTTTTTGAAAGTTGGTTCATATGGAATTTGTACCACAAATAAAATTATATTATTTAATTATGTAATACTTCAAATGTAAAAATTTAATTCAAAAAATAATAAAATGTTTTAAAATCAAAATGATTATTATACTTTGTTAAATTCCAGAAATTTCTTGTCATTTCAAAGGAAAATATAAATTCCAGGCTCAATCTTTGTGTCATCGCGCGACTTCTTATCTCTCAAACAAACATGCACACTTGGTCTCTCTCTATATTACCCACTTATCTCCAAATTCCCCAAAGCCGACACGTTATGGCTAAAATATTTAATATGGAAATGTGGCGTTGCATCTCTCTCAGATCGGCGGAGCACAAAAGTCTCCCAACGCAAGTTCCTTCCGACTCTCGGAAGCAAATTTCCCCAAAGACCTCCCGAGAGCAAAACAAGGTAACAACAGCCTGTGCTGGAATTACCAGGCCCAAACACATCCCCTTCTAGATATTGTTAAATAATATAATGGCGCGCACGCAAATTCGCCGTAATTCGGTTACTTTCGAATTAAATTCGACCGAGGGTGCGGAAGAGGAAAAGGTCTGTGATTTTTGCCGAGATTTAAGAAGAGATTTGGTGCGTCTTTTGTGGAGAGGAAAGGATAAGCATCGGGATTGCGCTTTTCTTGAGGGGCGCCCGATGAAGACCCTCGGCGACCGTTTTCGCTCCGAAATTGCGGCCCGCACACGATCCGCCGGCTTAACCGAAGGTGACAAACCCTGTCTTCCCTCCTTGCAGTGCAATTCGAGCTCGGAACAAAATGCCCTCACAATCACGGTGTCTGCTTACCTGCCTCTCTACTTCAATTAATTGCATGAAACTCGACGCGTGTATTATTTGATCCGCAGGTCATGCATCAACAGCCGGTGTCGAATTTATATAATGGAAGTAATTGATTCATTAGCACAAATTATTTTTCTTTCAAATGCACAAACATTTTTGTTCAAATTTTACAAAAATTTTTCGATTTAAAAGATGTATTTTTAAATTTTATAAAATAATTAATAGTTACAAAACAATATAAAAAACTTCATAAAGGATCCTTAAATTTTAACCAAAATTAATAATATCAGAAGCTATTTATAATCACCAAATTATAGGATGAAATCTAACCAAAATATTTGGGAGATTGTTGATACGAAAATTCACAAAGGTTATAAAATTTTGAGCTCATGTCTTAGAAAATTTGAAGACAATAGTGATAGTTTCTTGTCCTTAAATGATCTCTTTATGTGCTCTAATTATTTTAAATTCCGTTAATAATTCTCGCTTGCATCAAAACTAATGCAATATAATTAATTTAAAATGAATGAGTATGTTTTGAATCAGTTGCTTTTTCATTAAAGTATCTTTTATAAAATAAACTTCAAGTATAAACTCTAAAAAGGCTTATAATTATTTTCAACTTGAAAATTTCAAGATTTATTCAAAGTGTGGAGAGAAATTTAAAAAACGAAATTGTTGGCTGGTTAAATTGTCTTGTGCTTCTTTGCTGTAAAAGATAAAAAATGAAGGTGAATGTTTTTTTTTTGCGTCGCCAGAAAACCGGCAAGGCTGAAAAGCGGTTTCTTTCTTTGTGTGGTGTGCCCTTTTTTTATCAGACCCTTGAATGACGTCTTCTCTTGTCTAGATTAGCTTCTTGCACGCGATATTTGCTTTTTTCCGCTGTTGTTGTGTTCGCGCCTCTTTTGTTTTCTTTTCCGGGCGCAAGTGGAAAATTATGTGAATGTTTTAATTTACTTTAGTGGTTTGTGTAATAAACGCGCTTGGCGGCGGAAAACGGCTGTGCTTTTTTGCAGCAAATAGTTAATGTCCCAAGACATGAAAGTCGCCGCCCCTGCTCACAACTCGACCGCGACACACTCTAGCTGCAGTGAATAAAAAGTAGTGGTGTCTCTGCCTGCACGAGCACTTCATTCGCTCTTTTTGTAATTACGTGATGCTGCGTGCCTCACGCCACTGCGATGACCTCTGAAATAATAAAAAAAAGGGAAGTCTGCCGCAGCATCCTGGATTAAAAAGTGGCTGGAAAAATTAGGTTTACTGTCGCAAAAAGAAGCAGAAGAAAAGGGAATTTTTTCCATGAATATTTATGTCCAAGAAAGGAAAACAGAAAAAGGAAAGGCCAGCACTGAAAATTTAACTATCAAGAAATTAGAAATAAGTCGCTTATTTATGCTGGTAATCAAATATTAATACCGATCGAAATTTGAGACTGTACTTTTCCTATGAAGAATAAAATACAATCAATAAAGACACGTTGCAACTAAAATTAAATTTTTTCCCAACAATGTTGAATATTTTGAATATTTAGTTTCAGAATATATTTATGCAAATTATCAGCAATTTAATTTAAATCTCCATTGTTCACTAAAATTTAACACCAGATTAATGCTTACGTTTTATTAGAATTATTCAAAATTATGATTTAAATATTTTTAAAACAAGAAATACTGTTAAAAATATCAAAGAAAGAAGAAATTTTCAAAATAATGAAATAATTGGTTTAAAGGTCGACTCAGGTGATTGTTATTCTTCTTTATTCTGAAAGTTGGCTAAATTTCGAGTATATCTTGAGAAAGCATTCTGTTGAAATTTCACTCAGCTGCTTCGCATCACAAGAAAACTTAATTCAAGTAAAAAAATATAAGAATTCATGAGTTGAAGGTTAATCTTCATCAGTTTGCTAAAATAAAAAACTTCAGCCTTTTGGTCACCGGTGGTGCTGAGATGGCTGATTTTGTCCAGGCGCTGTGCATTCGCAGCTCCTCCAATGACCAAAAGCTGACGTTTTTAAGCAAACTGACAGGAAAACCCTGCAACTCTATTTTCATAATTTTTGCTAGATTTTTTTAATAAAACGCCAAAAACCACTGGAAAAGTTTTGTCTTTTGGTAAAAATAGAAATAATATGAAGGAAAAATGTTTTGCAAAAGTATTTTTAGCCAAATCTCCCCTCAGCGAGCTCCACTGTCTCTGACGTTTCGCTTAATTACTTTGCGCAACGACGGAATTATTATTGAATTTAGCGGCACGTCAAGAGTCGCACGTGCAAAAGTAAGGCACCCTCTATAGTTTGCTGGCACTCGAAAACCACGTGATGAGAGAGAGGACGAGGGTTGGCGAAATAATATAATGATGCGCAGTCGTGAGGCTTGTTATTATTGACAGATGATGTCAACACGCACCCAGTCAAGTAGTTGGCTCTCGTTAAGGCCTTCATACATCACCGACATGACAAATACAGAGAGAAACTATGCAAAAGTGATGCTCAGGAAGCTCCCCTTGAATTGCGTAAAGATTCGATTTCCTCTGATGCGTCCCTCGATTTTGAAATAATTTGTTTTATGTTGCATACTTTCAGAGTAAGAATTCATCTAATTGCAACATCGCCACTTAAAAAAATGAGAGACGCATGTAAATTTTGTAGTATTGAAATTAATTCACTGAATTTTTGATTATTTTACAATTAGAATTGAAGTCTTTGGAAGAATAAAACAACTTCTTTAGGGGAAGATTACTTAAAACAATTTTATTTCCTTTTTTATTTCCAATTCTAATTATGAGTTTGTAGTTTTTCTCTTTCTAGAAAGCAAAGATTCAAGATTGAACATGTGAACCTAGGAAGAAAATATTCATGTAATTTTTAGTTTCCTTTTCATTCTTATTTTTAAATTGATTTATAATTTTATTTGATTTTGGAAAATAAGTAAGAAAACTGATTAAGAATAATTTATATTGTTGCCGAGTATTGAACACTTTCAGTACAAGAACTCGTTGCCAGTCAATTGTAAAATTATGCAAATTTCTAGTTGTTTATGCAACCGGCGACGCTGCTGCGAAGTGCAGGTTGCATAACAAGACTGCTGAAAGGCGCACTACTTTCTGCTTGAAGCCTAATAGGGAACAATAATTACTATTCCACGTCGGTGGCAATGACGTTCGAAGGAATAATGGCTCGAGCTGAAATGTTGCAGCGAGAAGCCGTTTCAAAATTCCAGGCAATGGGAATGCAAATAATATTTATGAGGAGACTCGTGAATTCACCGCGTATGTGAAATTAAAATGAAAGAAACTTTGCCGCGCTCTGGCAAAATGAATGCGTGCCGCGCGGCGTACGAATATAATTATTATCGAGTTAGCTCGAGTTGCGGCGCTGGAATTTTCATTTGTCACCATATCAAGTGTGTTGGGTCCTAAATTACCACGCGAGCCAATTAATTTTACATCTGCAAATCTGGTTGGCAAATATACAACCAAGAAGGTGTATTCAGATTAATCTTAAATTTAAATCAAACAAATATAATTTTAACATGTTTAAACACATAATCAATTTTAATTGTGTTAAAAATTTTGTCCTAAAAATTTTAATACTTTATTGTTGCTGTTGAAAAACAAATTGACGCAAATTACACAATTAATTGATAATTTATAATCATAAAATTTAAATGGAAGGTTTTAATGGAGTTTTTTAAAAACAAGGCTCAAATGAATAACAATTCATCATAAATCTGAAAATAAGAGTG